GATTCTCCTCGGGTAATAAGCGTGGGGATGCACATGATAGCCACCGCGCTGGGCTCCTTGACATTAGCTGCATGTGACGCTTTGCCTGCTGCACTTAACTGTACAACCTGCCTCCCAGCTATACGCACATGTTGAGGTACAGCTCTAGGATCCACACGCAGCGCATGGATCATTGTAAGCGCTGAAAACCAGGACCCGCCTGCAGGCTATCTACGGATGGCTTTGTATGAAAACCCTAAGACCCCCTTACCAGCCCAGGCGGCTCCCAGCTCATCCAAGCCCTTCCCAGGCAACCCCAAGGTGGTCGTGGCCATTATCAGGCTACCCATGCCACTATTAGGCCACCCATGCCATTCCCAGGCGGCCTGTAGCAGCGATGGTTTGACTTAGCAAGGAATGCGAACAATGCATGGGTGGCTGGCTAAGGCGACCGAGCGACAGGCAAATGTAATAACCAAAAAGGGGTATATGATGGAAGGTAGGACAATTCCTCTCCTCTGGTGTGTGGTTTGGAACTGTAAGGTGCAGAAGCACGTTTGGCTTGTCGTACGGGTTCAGGCGCCGCCGTGAACCGTACGGCACACGGATTGGGGGTCAGTGGTGCAACAAAGCCCACCCTTGGGGTAGAGCAGGTGCTGTCACTTTTTACACACGCACTGTGATCCAGGTCGTCAGAGCCCTGGCTACGGGCCCCTCTGGGATTCCTTTGGAACCTTCCTTAATAATTCTATTTTGCACCATTCTCCTTCTATCTACCAATCCTTCGCTTCCGCTTATCACTACCTGATGAGCGTAGTAGCAATATCCTCGTTAGAAGGCCCCGCCCGTTGCAAAGCTAGCTATTCCCAGGCGACCCCAGGTGCCGGCGGGGAACTCCCGGGCCATCCATGTATGCAATTCCCAGACGGCCCCTGGCATTCCCAAGCGGACCATGCCATTCTCAATCGACCCCCGGTACTTCAAAGCAAGAAACCCTTGGTACTCATTGCCAAGGTGGCGCCGACCATTCCCAGGCGGCTCCATAGCGAAGCTAGCCGTTCCCAGGCGACCCCAAGGTAATACAGGCCACTCCCAGGCCACCCATGCCATTCCCAGCTGCCCATGCCGTTTTCAAGCGAACCTTGGCTTTCCCAGTTACCCATTGGTACTCCCAAGCACCCCTTGGCATTCCCAAGCGACCCTGGCCATTCCCAGGCGGGCCCCAGGCGACCCTAGCCATCCCGGGCCACTCATGTACGTGTTACTTGCCATCCCATGTGTCAATGCATACCCCAAACCGCGCGTTTTGGCATGGATTTCGGACCGCTCCGCACGCCGTACACGTGTCCTCTTGATAGTGGTGAGTGTGGGCTTCGTTTTGAGCATGAGCCCCTCAGGGGGCGAGTCGTCATGGTGTAGTGCTGACATCCTTTGGATGTCTGAAGGCGACAGGCTGGCTGCCTGCAACTGCCTGATCGATCCCTGCTGTTTGCATATGCTTGCTGATTTTGCTAGCTTGCATCTTGCATGCATACGTGCAAGCCACCTAGCGGCACTCAACACAACTACAGCATACAGCCTGCACTACAACATGCCAGCATGAACAACAGGCAGCGCAGCTCGCAGAAGAGTAGGGTTTCATATCCTTGCGTAAAATAAATGCACCTTCTGCGCAAAACAGCGTCACGCCAGACGTTGCTTTTGCTCATATTATAGCAGCAACACATACAGCGTGAAGTGTATTCTGCAATGCTTCTATCCGGCAAAGACAAAGCGACTGTATGCGAGAAATGTGAGGAACCGAAGGCAACCACCGCAATCTCCTCAAATTTGACGTACTCCGCATTCCCTCCCCTTCCCCTTTCCTAAGAAGTCTTCCTTATGAAATATATCCTCCGCACTTCCTCCTTCTATTCGCATATTGATCCCTGACTACACAACAGCCTACCAACCTCGCGACATCGCTTTTTCCACCCGCGACCATCACCGTTGTTTCTTTTATAATGGTGATCCTGAGTACAAGAAAGCGCTGCCGAATTAGCGATAACATAAGAAGCTGCGTGCGGCGCACACAATTGTGGTCGAAATCTACTGCCTCGTGGAGTCGCCGATAAACGAAATGGCGATAACGTGAGGTCCGGAAATCAATCAAGTAAGAGAATGCCATTTTCATTTCCGGCCGCACCATATTCGTCGGCGCTGGACTGCAGACATTAAAATGGACATCTTGCGACCTCAACTGCGAGCCCGCATACTCTTGTCTTCCCTGCGTTCCATTATGAACCGCTGCAAATGAAGGAGAGTATTACAGCGCCCCCTAGAGATCGACCCTCCGACTACCGGCTATGCACTTTCCAGACACCGCAGCATGCAAGCCCTGCTTACGTTACCAACTGCGACCGACCCCCAAAACCGTCTTTTCTTGCTGAGGGGCTTTGGGAACGAAGCGTGTTGCAAGCCCTCTCCGCACGTTCAAGCCTCCCGCCCCCTCTTGCAAACCCTTTCCACGTGTTCCGCACCCTCCCTGCCTGTTGCAAGGTTTGCCCGCATGGGCTGTCCGCCACCTCCTTATGCCCTACGACAGTCCCCGTCTGCTCTTCTGTCCTCCTCTCCTACCTCCCTGTGCTGCGGTTCACTAACCAAACCTTCTTCCCCCTGCCCCATCCACGCCCATGCATGCATTGGGAACGAAGCGTGTTGCAAGCCCTCTCCGCACGTTCAAGCCTCCCGCCCCCTCTTGCAAACCCTTTCCACGTGTTCCGCACCCTCCCTGTCTGTTGCAAGCGTTGCCCGCATGCGCTGTCCGCCACCTCCTTATGCCCTACGACAGTCCCCGTCTGCTCTTTTGTCCTCCTCTCCTACCTCCCTGTGCTGCAGTTCACGAACCAAACCTTCTTCCCCCTGCCCCATCCACGCCCGTGCATGCATGCATCACAGCAGGTACTGTTCCCCTAGCTCCTGCAACGCTGTGGACGCTGAGCACCTCTGGGAATGAAGCGTTTTCCAAGCCCTCTCCGTGCAGAAGCAGGCTCAAGAAATGCACCCTCCCCCCCTCACCCGCATCCCTGCCCGCCACCTCCTTCTGCCTTACCACAGCCTGCTACCTGCCTATCCCGCCTGCTTCCTGCCCCGACTAACCATACCTTCTGCCCCTTACTTCCCGCTGCCGCATGCAGAACCCAACGCGCTTCTTCTTCCTTCCCATGCAATTGACACCCTCCTTCATGCCCCCCTCTCGCCCCCGTGCATGGATACCACAGGACAGAACAGCTGTGCCAAATTCCGAACATGCCTTCGGGCAGGACTACTGCTCCCGCATCCTGCAAGTAAGAACCCGGGGGGCGGTTATGGGCCCAGCACCGCAGCTCTACATTGCGCTACTCTGTTCTGCGTATCTGCCAGCTGCCTTTGCTTGGATGATCCCCAGCCGCTCTTCTTTCCTCCTCCCCTACCTCCCTGGACCGCCGCTCACTAACCATACCTGGCTCCCCCGGCCCCATCCATGCCCGTCCATGCATGCAGCAGCATGCCCCGCCCCGCACCTTTCCGCCCCGACATGCCCCTGGCACAGCGCACAGCGACTTGGAAGCTGTGCTCAGCTTGTCACAGGCTTCAGGGAGTCTAACGTAACCTTCCACCACCTGGCCCGCTCTGTAGCCCCATGCCGCTGCGCATACCTCGCCTGTGGCCCCACGGCCCCCGCACCATGCAACCCCCAACACACCCGCCGCATGCTGCCTGCCACCAGGACGGCCGCCACTGCACGCCCTCCCCCTGGCCCTCTATACCCGCCCGCCCCCCTCCAGCCCCGCCCCCACCCCGGCCCAGCACCCTGCGCGGCAGTACAACCGCGCCGTGACGTACTGCACCTCCCCTCCTCATGTATTCGCCTAAGGATGTCAGGCCCTCGGGCCCCCCGGGCCCAGCTTGTTGGTTATCACATTCGCCTAACACGCGAAAGGTCTCCAGTTCGAACCTGGATGACGACACGTTTTGCCCTTAAACAAAGCCTATACGCTTTGTCACAAGCGTTTTTCATGTTGGGCTACCAACCTCTTGTCTCGAGAATGAAGGGCACCCATAGAAAACAACATTGCCACGGACTTCAACAGTTTTAAACATAATTACACTTGCACCCTGCTTGCACCTGTTACCATTGCGGCGTCCAACTGTGTATTGGGTTTGGTTGGGCGATGGGTCGGCTCCCTAATTGGGCGTGTACATCAGCCTTCTTGCTGTATGTTAGCACATGGCGGGCCACATCAGGTGGGGCCGGAGGGCGTCACACGATGTCTTGTTTGCCCAATCCCTCTCTTACTTTCCCTGTGCACCCCATATTTATTCCTGAGTTGGATTGTAATTGTGTGGTTTGTGTGGAGCAGGGGGGGTGTCGGGCTGGGGTGCTCATATGTTTGTTTACTTATCTTCCACTGCTGCATGGGGCCCCTTCACAGGGCGTAGCTCCAGGAAAGGGTTAGGCACGATCGTTGGGTTCCAGGTAATAGCATGCACACAGGGTCAATGTGTGCTCGATTACCGGTACTGACAGCTGGTCCTCTAGTACAACACACCCATACTCACCATGATGTACGGCAACCGTTCTCAGCGTGTACCGCTGCGCTAGGTATGTTGGTATGTGGAAGAATCCGCCACACGTGCGTGTGTGAGGTCTGAAGTCCCCCATCCCGCTAGGGCCAGAACCCGAACAGCCGGGATTCTCCTCGGGTAATAAGCGTGGGGATGCACATGATAGCCACCACGCTGGGCTCCTTGACATTAGCTGCATGTGACGCTTTGCCTGCTGCACTTAACTGTACAACCTGCCTCCCAGCTATACGCACATGTTGAGGTACAGCTCTAGGATCCACACGCAGCGCATGGATCATTGTAAGCGCTGAAAACCAGGACCCGCCTGCAGGCTATCTACGGATGGCTTTGTATGAAAACCCTAAGACCCCCTTACCAGCCCAGGCGGCTCCCAGCTCATCCAAGCCCTTCCCAGGCAACCCCAAGGTGGTCGTGGCCATTATCAGGCTACCCATGCCACTATTAGGCCACCCATGCCATTCCCAGGCGGCCTGTAGCAGCGATGGTTTGACTTAGCAAGGAATGCGAACAATGCATGGGTGGCTGGCTAAGGCGACCGAGCGACAGGCAAATGTAATAACCAAAAAGGGGTATATGATGGAAGGTAGGACAATTCCTCTCGTCTGGTGTGTGGTTTGGAACTGTAAGGTTCAGAAGCACGTTAGGCTTGTCGTACGGGTTCAGGCGCCGCCGTGAACCGTACGGCACACGGATTGGGGGTCAGTGGTGCAACAAAGCCCACCCTTGGGGTAGAGCAGGTGCTGTCACTTTTTACACAAGCATGTGATCCAGGTCGTCAGAGCCCTGGCTACGGGCCCCTCTGGGATTCCTTTGGAACCTTCCTTAATAATTCTATTTTGCACCATTCTCCTTCTATCTACCAATCCTTCGCTTCCGCTTATCACTACCTGATGAGCGTAGTAGCAATATCCTCGTTAGAAGGCCCCGCCCGTTGCAAAGCTAGCTATTCCCAGGCGACCCCAGGTGCCGGCGGGGAACTCCCGGGCCATCCATGTATGCAATTCCCAGACGGCCCCTGGCATTCCCAAGCGGACCATGCCATTCTCAATCGACCCCCGGTACTTCAAAGCAAGAAACCCTTGGTACTCATTGCCAAGGTGGCGCCGACCATTCCCAGGCGGCTCCATAGCGAAGCTAGCCGTTCCCAGGCGACCCCAAGGTAATACAGGCCACTCCCAGGCCACCCATGCCATTCCCAGCTGCCCATGCCGTTTTCAAGCGAACCTTGGCTTTCCCAGTTACCCATTGGTACTCCCAAGCACCCCTTGGCATTCCCAAGCGACCCTGGCCATTCCCAGGCGGGCCCCAGGCGACCCTAGCCATCCCGGGCCACTCATGTACGTGTTACTTGCCATCCCATGTGTCAATGCATACCCCAAACCGCGCGTTTTGGCATGGATTTCGGACCGCTCCGCACGCCGTACACGTGTCCTCTTGATAGTGGTGAGTGTGGGCTTCGTTTTGAGCATGAGCCCCTCAGGGGGCGAGTCGTCATGGTGTAGTTGGTTATCACATTCGCCTAACACGCGAAAGGTCTCCAGTTCGAACCTGGATGACGACACGTTTTGCCCTTAAACAAAGCCTATACGCTTTGTCACAAGCGTTTTTCATGTTGGGCTACCAACCTCTTGTCTCGAGAATGAAGGGCACCCATAGAAAACAACATTGCCACGGACTTCAACAGTTTTAAACATAATTACACTTGCACCCTGCTTGCACCTGTTACCATTGCGGCGTCCAACTGTGTATTGGGTTTGGTTGGGCGATGGGTCGGCTCCCTAATTGGGCGTGTACATCAGCCTTCTTGCTGTATGTTAGCACATGGCGGGCCACATCAGGTGGGGCCGGAGGGCGTCACACGATGTCTTGTTTGCCCAATCCCTCTCTTACTTTCCCTGTGCACCCCATATTTATTCCTGAGTTGGATTGTAATTGTGTGGTTTGTGTGGAGCAGGGGGGGTGTCGGGCTGGGGTGCTCATATGTTTGTTTACTTATCTTCCACTGCTGCATGGGGCCCCTTCACAGGGCGTAGCTCCAGGAAAGGGTTAGGCACGATCGTTGGGTTCCAGGTAATAGCATGCACACAGGGTCAATGTGTGCTCGATTACCGGTACTGACAGCTGGTCCTCTAGTACAACACACCCATACTCACCATGATGTACGGCAACCGTTCTCAGCGTGTACCGCTGCGCTAGGTATGTTGGTATGTGGAAGAATCCGCCACACGTGCGTGTGTGAGGTCTGAAGTCCCCCATCCCGCTAGGGCCAGAACCCGGACAGCCGGGATTCTCCTCGGGTAATAAGCGTGGGGATGCACATGATAGCCACCACGCTGGGCTCCTTGACATTAGCTGCATGTGACGCTTTGCCTGCTGCACTTAACTGTACAACCTGCCTCCCAGCTATACGCACATGTTGAGGTACAGCTCTAGGATCCACACGCAGCGCATGGATCATTGTAAGCGCTGAAAACCAGGACCCGCCTGCAGGCTATCTACGGATGGCTTTGTATGAAAACCCTAAGACCCCCTTACCAGCCCAGGCGGCTCCCAGCTCATCCAAGCCCTTCCCAGGCAACCCCAAGGTGGTCGTGGCCATTATCAGGCTACCCATGCCACTATTAGGCCACCCATGCCATTCCCAGGCGGCCTGTAGCAGCGATGGTTTGACTTAGCAAGGAATGCGAACAATGCATGGGTGGCTGGCTAAGGCGACCGAGCGACAGGCAAATGTAATAACCAAAAAGGGGTATATGATGGAAGGTAGGACAATTCCTCTCGTCTGGTGTGTGGTTTGGAACTGTAAGGTTCAGAAGCACGTTAGGCTTGTCGTACGGGTTCAGGCGCCGCCGTGAACCGTACGGCACACGGATTGGGGGTCAGTGGTGCAACAAAGCCCACCCTTGGGGTAGAGCAGGTGCTGTCACTTTTTACACAAGCATGTGATCCAGGTCGTCAGAGCCCTGGCTACGGGCCCCTCTGGGATTCCTTTGGAACCTTCCTTAATAATTCTATTTTGCACCATTCTCCTTCTATCTACCAATCCTTCGCTTCCGCTTATCACTACCTGATGAGCGTAGTAGCAATATCCTCGTTAGAAGGCCCCGCCCGTTGCAAAGCTAGCTATTCCCAGGCGACCCCAGGTGCCGGCGGGGAACTCCCGGGCCATCCATGTATGCAATTCCCAGACGGCCCCTGGCATTCCCAAGCGGACCATGCCATTCTCAATCGACCCCCGGTACTTCCAAGCAAGAAACCCTTGGTACTCATTGCCAAGGTGGCGCCGACCATTCCCAGGCGGCTCCATAGCGAAGCTAGCCGTTCCCAGGCGACCCCAAGGTAATACAGGCCACTCCCAGGCCACCCATGCCATTCCCAGCTGCCCATGCCGTTTTCAAGCGAACCTTGGCTTTCCCAGTTACCCATTGGTACTCCCAAGCACCCCTTGGCATTCCCAAGCGACCCTGGCCATTCCCAGGCGGGCCCCAGGCGACCCTAGCCATCCCGGGCCACTCATGTACGTGTTACTTGCCATCCCATGTGTCAATGCATACCCCAAACCGCGCGTTTTGGCATGGATTTCGGACCGCTCCGCACGCCGTACACGTGTCCTCTTGATAGTGGTGAGTGTGGGCTTCGTTTTGAGCATGAGCCCCTCAGGGGGCGAGTCGTCATGGTGTAGTTGGTTATCACATTCGCCTAACACGCGAAAGGTCTCCAGTTCGAACCTGGATGACGACACGTTTTGCCCTTAAACAAAGCCTATACGCTTTGTCACAAGCGTTTTTCATGTTGGGCTACCAACCTCTTGTCTCGAGAATGAAGGGCACCCATAGAAAACAACATTGCCACGGACTTCAACAGTTTTAAACATAATTACACTTGCACCCTGCTTGCACCTGTTACCATTGCGGCGTCCAACTGTGTATTGGGTTTGGTTGGGCGATGGGTCGGCTCCCTAATTGGGCGTGTACATCAGCCTTCTTGCTGTATGTTAGCACATGGCGGGCCACATCAGGTGGGGCCGGAGGGCGTCACACGATGTCTTGTTTGCCCAATCCCTCTCTTACTTTCCCTGTGCACCCCATATTTATTCCTGAGTTGGATTGTAATTGTGTGGTTTGTGTGGAGCAGGGGGGGTGTCGGGCTGGGGTGCTCATATGTTTGTTTACTTATCTTCCACCGGTATGTATGGCTGCTGCATGGGGCCCCTTCACAGGGCATAGCTCCGTAGCTCCAGGAAAGGGTTAGGCACGATCGTTGGGTTCCAGGTAATAGCATGCACACAGGGTCAATGTGTGCTCGATTACCGGTACTGACAGCTGGTCCTCTAGTACAACACACCCATACTCACCATGATGTACGGCAACCGTTCTCAGCGTGTACCGCTGCGCTAGGTATGTTGGTATGTGGAAGAATCCGCCACACGTGCGTGTGTGAGGTCTGAAGTCCCCCATCCCGCTAGGGCCAGAACCCGAACAGCCGGGATTCTCCTCGGGTAATAAGCGTGGGGATGCACATGATAGCCACCACGCTGGGCTCCTTGACATTAGCTGCATGTGACGCTTTGCCTGCTGCACTTAACTGTACAACCTGCCTCCCAGCTATACGCACATGTTGAGGTACAGCTCTAGGATCCACACGCAGCGCATGGATCATTGTAAGCGCTGAAAACCAGGACCCGCCTGCAGGCTATCTACGGATGGCTTTGTATGAAAACCCTAAGACCCCCTTACCAGCCCAGGCGGCTCCCAGCTCATCCAAGCCCTTCCCAGGCAACCCCAAGGTGGTCGTGGCCATTATCAGGCTACCCATGCCACTATTAGGCCACCCATGCCATTCCCAGGCGGCCTGTAGCAGCGATGGTTTGACTTAGCAAGGAATGCGAACAATGCATGGGTGGCTGGCTAAGGCGACCGAGCGACAGGCAAATGTAATAACCAAAAAGGGGTATATGATGGAAGGTAGGACAATTCCTCTCGTCTGGTGTGTGGTTTGGAACTGTAAGGTGCAGAAGCACGTTTGGCTTGTCGTACGGGTTCAGGCGCCGCCGTGAACCGTACGGCACACGGATTGGGGGTCAGTGGTGCAACAAAGCCCACCCTTGGGGTAGAGCAGGTGCTGTCACTTTTTACACACGCACTGTGATCCAGGTCGTCCGAGCCCTGGCTACGGGCCCCTCTGGGATTCCTTTGGAACCTTCCTTAATAATTCTATTCTGCACCATTCTCCTTCTATCTACCAATCCTTCGCTTCCGCTTATCACTACCTGATGAGCGTAGTAGCAATATCCTCGTTAGAAGGCCCCGCCCGTTGCAAAGCTAGCTATTCCCAGGCGACCCCAGGTGCCGGCGGGGAACTCCCGGGCCACCCATGTATGCAATTCCCAGACGGCCCCTGGCATTCCCAAGCGGACCATGCCATTCCCAGTCGACCCCCGGTACTTCTAAGCAAGAAACCCTTGGTACTC